GTGGCTCCTTCCTCCAGGATGATTTTGTGCATGCAAAATGTAGGGCTAATTCCTCTTATGTCCGCTATGGTCCATCCAATAGCCCTCTTGTACTTAGATAAAACCTGCAAAAGCAAAGATTCATGTTCATTAGACAACTATGAAGAAATGATATTGGGCAAAGTATCGTTTAAACCCAAATAAGCATATTTTAGATGAAAAGGTGGGGGTTTCTTCTCCAATTATGGAGGTTAAATGATGGAAGGTTGCAAGACCTTCAAATCAACTATTGTCGGCTGCAAAAACTCAAAAGCTCAAATTGGGGCAAAATTGCGGTGGATTCTTTTTCTGCGACCTCCAAATCTGCTTCTAAGTCTTCCACTATCATTTGCTGGAGTTCCTCCATGATTGCCCCTATTGTAGAGCACTCTTCGACATCATCCGGGAGACGCATCGCATCGAGGACATTGAAGGTTACCTGCTCATCATTGACCTTCATAGTGATCTCTCCTTTCCTAACATTGAATACAGTATATCCAGTTGCTAAAAATGGCCTCCCAAGAATGATAGGCACCTCAATGAAATCGGCGGGAAAAATAAACTTATCGACTTTAACAAGCACATCTTCTATTTTCCCTTCCGGTTTCTTTATAGACCTATTAGCTAGTTGTAAAGTGACAGTAATGGGACGAGCTTCTCTTATATTTAACTCTTTAAAGACAGAAAGAGTCATAAGATTAATGCTTGCTCCTAAGTCACACAATGCTCTTCCTAGGTTCTTACCTACTATTGAGCAAGGGATAGTGAAACTACCTGGGTCTTTACACTTAACAGGTAATGGATTCCCTAGAGCATCACTACTACACTTTGTTAAGGCTACCGTCTCATGCTCATCTAACTTCTTATGCCTAGATATGATGTCTTTCAAAAACTTAGTGTAGTTAGGCATTTGTTCTAAAGCATCCACGAGAGGTATATTTATATGCAACTGTTTTAGAATCTCAAAGAACTTCTTAAAATGACTATCCTGATTCTTTTTAACTAGCTTTTGGGGGAAAGGTGGAGGAATCTTAATATTACCTACCTGTGGAGTAGTGTTGGGCACTACTTGCTTACCTTTATCCGCCTTCTTACCTTTTTCTTCTAAACTTACGGGTTATGCTTTCTCTTCTTGTTGTGGATTGAAGGTGGATGCAAGAACAGGTGTAACTGCATCAGTTCCTTCACCTGGAAGTGAGGGTTTTTCATATCTTAGTCCGCTTCTCGTGATAACTGCCTTATAGTGCTCCTTTCCCTCACGATCTGCTTCAGGTTTTCTGTGCGTTTAGGCAATGTACCTTGGGGTCTAGATTTTCAGTTATTTGCTATCTGCCCCACTTGCATCTCCAAGCTTCTTATCGCAACATCAGTTCTTGTCATGAACTCTTTCATCATGGCCTCCAAACTTGTGTTGCTACCACTTTGCAGAGTAGTATCTTGACCTCTTTCCTAATTGTATTGTTCAGGCTGCGATGCCGGTTAAGTTGGAAAACTAGGAGGAGTGTAGTTTTGCTTGTATTGTTGAGCGGGTGCTTGAGCTGCTACTAGCTACTCCTTGGTTACTCCAGGAAAAGTTTGGATGGTGCCTCTATCCAGGGTTGTAAGTGTTTGAATACGGATTGAAGTTTCGCTGGGCACCTTGACTTACATAGAAAATAGATGCTGGATTAGCTGGACAGTTCTCATACAAATGGTTATCACCACAATAGACACAAGGTATATCTGAAATTTGTAAAACAGGAGAAGGTTCAGGTATTTCCGAAACAGCGGTTTTGGTTTCCTTCTCCATTGTCAACTGCTTTAACATCAGGTTCATAGCCACCATTTGGGCTTGAATTGAAGCTATTGTGTCAAACTCAAAGACTCCGGCTGATACTTGCTTCTTTGGCAATGACCTTCCTATTTCGCCTTGGTCATTAATGTTTGTCATCTTGTTTAAGATATCAACAATCTCATTAACCGACTTTCCATTGGCTGCGGTGTTCAACATCATCCTTGATGAAGGATCCAATCCTCTATAGAATTGTTCAATTTGCACACATTTGGGCAATCCATGGCTTGGGCATCTTCTAAGTAACTCCTTAAAACGCTCCCAAGCTTCTTGAACTGCTTCATTCTCCTTTTGTCTAAAAGACACAATGTCTTCTTGAAGGTCTGCGTTCCTGGTCAAAGTGTGATACTTTGCCAAAAATTTCTTCGTCAGTTCCGCCCATGTGTTGATAGAATTTGGTTCTAACACGTTTAGCCAAGACATTGTAACATCCCTGAGAGAAAAAGGAAACATTTTTAATCTTAGAGCATCCTCAGAGACACCAGGAAGTTGAAATGCATTAGCTATTTCAATAAAGGATTTGAGATGGGAGTAAGGGTCTTCGTGAGTCAGTCCTCCGAACTGGCCCATCGTCTGCAACATCTAGAACATGACTGGCTTGAGCTCGAACTGTGCGGCTTGGGGTAAAGGATTATTTATCCCTGAATTTAGGTTGTGGAATGCATGGATGACATAGTTCCGCATGGCTACATCTCGGTTATCTGCTAGAAGGATCGGACTAGGAATTTTTCTTGCTCGGTTTGCTGCTCCTTCACCTACCATATCTCCATTCACTGGTGGATTTTGTGGCGGTGGAGGATCTTGTGGATTTCTATTCATCTCGATGGTCTCTTCTTTAATTTCTACTTCTTTGTCTTCTTTATTTTCTCGATCTTTTCTCAACCTTTGCTCACGTCTTATCCTCTTAAGGGTTCTTTCAATCTCTGGATCAAAGGTCAACCAACCAGACCCTGTGCTCATACACAACTCCCTTAAAGGTTAAATAAAACAATTAAGTCCAATGACAGAGGTATGCAACAATCACTCATAAAACAATTCACTTGAAAAGAATATGATTTGAAAACTTAAGTCCTCGGCAACGGTGCCAAAAACTTGTTGGGACTTTATCTAGCTTTAAAAAGATTAGAGACTCATGCAAGTACACACGGTCACAAGTAATACTCGAAAGTAATCTAAGGTCGAATCCTCAGGGACTTGTTGCTTTTCAAAATAGTTTTTAAGAAGTGAACGGTTCAAATATGCAATTGTGATTTAGGAAGAAAATAGTGGTGAAATGTTGTCGTTTGGGGTTTTAACTAACAAGAAATTTAACGAAACTCAACCTCCTTGTCTCCTACCTTAGTTTTGATGCAAAACATGGAAAACACACTATGTTGGGAAAAAGCATTAGACGCAATTCCTGGCTTTTCTTGGGATTTGAGTTATACTCTTTCACTACCGCTTTTGGTGGCTGCAGAGGCTAGGGTAACTTACAATCATATTCCTATGTGTGATTACAATCCAAGAGAATGTCTACCAACTCATTTGCATTATGGGTCAGAGGGCCTATGCCAAGGACCATGTTTGATGCACTTATTCCTAAGTCACATCCCATATTGGTTTCCTATGATTTTACCTAACTCACATTTCCCAAGGTTGGACTTTGGTGTATAAATCAAGTTACCACTGGCCAAATGGAAAAAAGACATAAAGAGAAGTTTTTAGAAACCAGCCCAAAAAAGTACCAAGCGTAATCTGTGAAGGGATGTGAATCTCGGAGCGGAAGCGGATTTTCGTTGCTGATTTTAGGGATACAAAATCGAAATTGAAAGAGGGAAAATACAGGGGAAACCATTACCTTTGAAGAACTTTTCTTCTACGGTTTCCCACAAACACCACCACTACGTCTTCCTCGCTATCCTCTTGGGTTTCGAGATCGTGCTTGTAGTAGCACCTTGATAGAAGAGAGGGAGAGATTGAGAGAATTTCGAGAGCAATTCTGGGAGTTTTCCTGTTCTGTATCTCACTTCTTCTTCTGCTTCTCCAACACTTGGAGAGGAAGAAGAAGGGTGACGTGGGGTAACTCCCCACGTCACAACTTCTCCCACTCCCCTGCAATTTTTGCAGGGGAGTTAATATTAATAATAATATTATTAATATTAATAATAATATATATATATAGTATATATAATAATAATTAATATATATATAATAATTAATATATATATATATATAATTAATTAATCAAATTAATTAATATAATTAATTATTAATCCAATTAATAATTAATAAATATATATACACATAAATAATTAACACTTAATTATTTATAAAATTAGAATCATATTCTAAAACATTTCTCTCGTATAACCTATAGTTCTAATGTACATCTTATGCACATTATTTTTAACCTATAGTTTTAATATGAATCTTATTCATAATAATTTTATTTGAATCTCATTCAAATAATTTCTCTCATAATATATAGTTTTAATTTATAATTAACTATATATTATAATGTATCAATATACATATAATCCCTTAAGTAATTTGAACAATTCAAATTCTTCCAAAAACTTGATCCTCGTTTTACCCGTTATGAGCTAGCAAGGGGACCTAATGGACCTACAGATCCGAATCTCCAACGATGCAAGATTAATCGGTCAAACTCATTGACCGAGTTAATCTAGATTCGTTAACTACGGGCCATTCCACTAAAGACCCGCAGTTGCACTCTTCTCACTGCAGAATGTTTCCGTGTCCATGGATATACGACCATTAATGACGAGTCAATCATTCACGAGTGTTCGTAACTCAAGTTGGGTCAAATTACCGTTTTACCTCTAAGTTACATCTTACTCCTTAAACACCATTGCTCCTCTAATGAACAACCCGGTTATGGTCCAACCAATAATCGGAAGTCCCTCTTGGCCAATGAGAGGGTGGGGCCCCTTGTTCAAGTCCCAGAGTCAGCATTTAAGGGAATACTCATCTACTCCCCTAAAGTCGGGGAGGAGTGAATTCCATCTTGTGAAGTTATGTTCCCAGCTCCCCACTCGGTCTCGTCCCCAAAATGGTAAAAATGTTGAGTCGGCGACTCAGGCCACTCTTACCCATACAGATCAAAGAACGAGCCCTCACGGGCAGGAGTTCGTAACTCACACAGGATTGAGAATGAGTTGCCTGGTCATCCTGAGAAATGGCAATATATTAGTTAACGGTGTTACAACTAAAGATTGCCTATTTCGCGGTCCGGTCTTATACAAACTCATTGTATAGGATACCCCCACTCGCATGTCTCCACACGAACGACCAGGATCGAGTCGTTTGTAACCTTTATAGAGCGGGCCATATCCATAGTGTTGCCAGGATAAGGTACCCAGCCTTATCCATATACTATAGACCCTTTAGGTTATTCACGGGACATTATCCATTCATATATCAGGGGTATATCAAATATATACCCCGTATATCAACTATATACCCAGTATATATACTGTCCCAATTACATCACAAATAACCTTGGATGTTTAGTTTATTGGATTTTGGATAATG